CTGATGTATGCCATGTCCAATACATTGTACTAAATTGTCTATATAGAGTAAAATCCTGATGTATGCTAATTCTACACGTCTTTGTTGTTTTTGTCCTTCAACGGCTTTTTTTGTAATATTACTGTCTGGTAAGTCACTAATATGATACCAGTATTTAATAATATTTATGTGAAATTATTATTATATAATTACGAGGCTAATATCTATACTTAAGCTAATAGCATGAAGATAGCAAGAAATAAATTTATAATTGAATATAATTAATTTTTCCAGTCGTGTAGATATTGTCTGCTTGTGTCTGTACATTTCTAGATATATTCATTTGGTACCAGAAAAGTCATTTTGATCAGGTTATAAGTTGGCTATCTTACAAATATCTAACTTACCTTCTAAATTTCCTTCTGGTATTTTCCACAAATACAAATTGAAGTCATCAGACCCAGACAGAATATACTGAATAAAAGCAAAAACAGTTGTGTCATCGTTCACAATGATGAATGAATTTCCATTGATCAATAAACTGAACAAAAAATATGATTTTCTGTCGCAAAACCACAATGACTGGGATATTTGTGAAACTTGGTCAATGTTTCATGTTTAATGATCTGTATAAAAGGTCCAAGGACAATTTACGAGAACAAAGAGATTTGAGAAAACGAGTCAGAAAACAGGAACTTTTGTGATAAAGTATTGTAATGAAGCTATCTGATTGATCATGTAAGCACTAGGTATGTTTCAAATATCATTTGAGCTTGTGTGTGTATTTTTACTTCTGGTAAAGTATACAAAGTTTCTATATACATTATTGATATGAATCTCACCTGGTCTGAATCACCAGCAAAACAACAGCTCTTCATAGTACATGAATTATAATAGCCAGAATGGTCAAACTGTATTAACGGTACAGCACTCTGTATATCATACAAGACAGGTGGAAGACGTCTTCTAAGTGAAACTAGTCTATCACCAGTACAATTAAACTTTACACTCATGGCACTCTGTTGTAAGAGACTTCCACCATAACGCAATAAACACCTATAAAGTGGAAACAGACAATCAACAACTGACTTCATCTGAAGCTGAATTTTGAGTCAAATAATAAATGCACCATACACAATACCAAGAGCATGTTTTCCTATATAATTATTATGAGCTAGGGTATTGCATCTTGTAACTATTTTCAGATGCATATAACTTTTTACATTGTTGTATAATAGGAGTGAGGAAATTGCTCATAAATTAATAAGCACACTATATCCACCTATCACTAGAGACATTCATGAAATGTCAGTCAGGCAATTCTTCGGCCAAAAAAAATAAATTATGTGGTTGTTATCATGCACTTTAAAAAACAGGTAGGGTAGGTAGGATATTTAACCCCTATGACATTTTTATCCTTATATAGCTTGCTGATAACTTAACTAGTTCAATGTCTAATGATGTTTACAGTATATAATTCTACTTGGGTCAAAATGTAAATGTACGTACGTTCTTGGAGCTCTGACATCCCACAATCCAACACCTTCTTTAGAGCTGGCTGTAGCTAGCAACGTTGGCTCAACAGGATTATAGACCACAGCATGGAAAGCTGATGTATAGTTTGCTAAAACAAATGGCTCTGAAATAAAATGGAATATTGAGTAATGAGTTCGAATGAGCTGCACAATTGTACGCAATTGACAATGTATGCATTCAGCCATTCCAGCATATCATGGATGTACACTGGATTTTAAATTCATACATTGCAAGTTGCATACACAATACATTCTACTCTAGAGAAGACTTCTACCTTGAATCAGTGCACATACCTTGTCCACTACGGTCTCTGATATCCCATATGAGTACACGACCATCATCACATGCGCTGGCATATATATTGTCATTATCTGGTTGTACAGATAAACCATACACGGTATCCTCATGTAAGAAAACATCCTGTGCTTCTCCACTGTAAACAAAATACAATTACATTGGCAATAATATATGTTCATATATTCCAATTAAGTTCTTCTACAATACTATCAATACCCCTTCAGCGAAAATAATGAAAATAAATTCTTAGTGAAAATAGAGTACTGGTACTTTTATTGTAGGTCTTTGACATTCAAATGACTGTTTGTAGCCAATCAATAATGAGAGTGTGTTAATTGATTCTAAAATCTTCCAATGTGTGTGAAATCTCCTCAAAAAGTCAAATAATTTTCACTATTGACATTCTGTAATAATGTCAAAAGGCAAAGTTAAAATAAAACATTCAGGAATTCCTTACCTGTGAACATCATGAACTATGACTTGTTCATCATTACCAGATGAAAACACCTTATTATTACTGGAGGAAAAAGCTAGACAGAATATATTAGAGTTATGTTCTCCTTTCATGGTAACTGCTTTACCAAGCCCAGATATTGCTTTCTCCACATTCCATAGCAGTACTCGTCTATCATCTCCACCTAGATCCACAGCAGAATAAGTTATGTTAAGAATTTGGCAGACAGTATTCAATATGCCTTCAATATACACATGAACATTTTTTTTTAAAAAAGGAGTAATTTTACATGTGCAGTTTGCAGACTGTGATTTATCTTAGAGATCACCTATGAAGCAAATTTAATTTAAATTGACTTATGTATGCAAATTAACTAATTTATATGCATGGATTCAACCCTAAAGCAATCATGTTGGTTGATTATCTCAAAGCACCTATGTACCAAGTTTTATTGAAATCGTAAGAATACCTTTTGAGATATCCGTGGAACAACTAAAAATAGGTTAATTTATTAAATTAGATAATTGATAAACACAGATTGCAACCAAAAACTACTGAGAACAAACATTGTTGTGGGTCGGTGTTAGGAATGGCGGAAGTATTGAGACATACACACAAAAACAACTTTTCCCAGGTTCTGTTATTCAGTCATGGTTCAATACAAAGAATGTTATTTTTTTTTGATTTGCTATGAAATTTAGTTTATTGTGAATGTAATTTTTCAGTTGTAATCTTTGTTTGTTTAGAGGAAATGCTGCCTTTCTAACTACAAATGATGCACCATGTATCTCTAGACACAAATTGATTTTTGTGCATTACATAAACACAAAAATGTGATCGATTTATCTTTATTTTCTCGCCTTTAATTAATAGTTTAGACCACAAATTATGTTACTAAGCAGTGAGTCACATGCTGTTTGTTTCAGACAAACAAACAAACACACCAAATCTAAAGTGCAGAAAGTTTAAAACCATTGTGGCATTAAAAAAGTGCTTTGTTCAGTCCCTAGATAAAGGGACTGTGGTTCGACCAATACATTTCTTTGGGAGCAATGTAATGCAGTTAATGTTGAATTATCATTAATATCATCAGTGTATTTTATCGTTATAAGTACTGCACAACAATGTTTACATCAGTTCTATTTTTAGTAACATATTATAATCCTGACATATTTATCATCATTTCGATGTGGGATAGTTGAGCACATTACAAAGGTGCACACAGCACGTGCATAAAAAATAAAAACTTATTGCCTCAAATACACGTAGGCGATAAAGAGACGCATTTGCATGGTCGCACCAGCTGCCGAGATACCATGTAGAAAACAATTTATTTATTTACATGTGAATAGTGTACATGATCAAGAGACGTCTGATACGACCATACTATTGAAAACATATAAGCACATGCTTATTTTAATCAGTAATTTAATTTCAACCTAGTTACCCTTCCCAAATCCAAGAGAGAGACGTTACCATTAACTAGTGCCTGTAATAGCATGATCAAGATATTTCGAACAAGCGATTAACGCCCGTGGTACGGCCCACGTGAATCGACCATCAAATGTTATTATCAGTACAGTAGAGTAGAGTCGCCGGTTCGTACTAGTATAAATGAAACGAAATAGGGACTTGTTGACGAACAGTCACAGTCTGTCGTTGTTAGTCTATGCATACCTGAAATAAGAAACTCTCCGCCATTGTTGCTAAATTCAATAGCATTGACACAACCGAAATGGCTGAGTAAATCTTTCTTGAAAAGACTCTGGCATCGGTGGAATCTATCGCGGATGTAGCGGCCACATAGAGTGCTGTTACCCGTTTCCTGTCTGCGGAAAGTACACGAGATCGGCGACGTAGTCGAGCAGTTTCTTGTCCGTGGCATTGCGCTATGCTCGCCAGTAGTATGCTTTAAATTCTGGCAAATTTCATCAACACAGTGCTGATTAATAATTTGATAGTTCTAGATATAAACAAAATGGCGATATCACTATTGCGGCTGTCGTAAATGGGACAGTTTATATGTCCATAAACGCTTGTACGGTGTCTCTTAATTCAGTGAAAAGGCCGGCATATTACACTATCATATTCAACTGCGTGAAAAAGTATGCAACACACAGACTCACGAAACTAGTTATTTTATTAGTTGTTTATTTTTGCGACATGTCGCTAATTTCGGCGATGGAACTACGAACGAATCTGTTTTCTTGGCACGAGAGGGCGTAATACATGTTGTCCTAACCCGGGCGCAATGTGCTCAAAAAAATATGCGAAAAAGAATATAAAATATAGTAAAAATATAAGAAATGTATAAAAAATAAAAATACCCTAAGCGGAAAACAACCTACTAATATTTTGGGTGTTGTCTCTATTTAGTATATGTTGGGATAGGAACAATTGTGTCAGGCTTGGACATATATGCACAACACCAGATGAGAAATATGGTAAGCTTCTACCCAGAATTAACGATGTACTGCACACGCATTATTCAATATACACGCAAGCCGTGTTTGTGTAGGTTATAAAATGACACGCCCTTTATACATGGTATGAAGGACGTGTCATTTTATAACCGGCTTCTAACATGGCAACAATTTGCAACAATTTATTCAATTTTATTTTTGTTTTGTGCGGTACAGTTCACTTCGTGGCTAGAAATCATTGATTCAATATGGAAGAACAGTCGCTACCCGAATAAAATGTTGCAATAGATCACAGGGAGTTGGACAATCTTATGTATTTTAATACATTATTAAATAATAAAATGTTATATGACTTTTCTTTTACCCCCCCCCCCCTTTCCTGGTATCGATTTCAAGTAATTGCTGAACTTTGTTTATACTACTCTTTCCTTTACCACAATCTTTGTTACGCGCCAACTATGACTTCCTTTATATATTGGCCGCACCCTGTTCGATATAGGACTCATAGCGACGTATGCAACGCGTGTAAAATACATTGTTTCAAGTTATTTACTTGAACTTCGAGCACGCGCTGCGCGACGACCACCGCCCTTTAAAACACTTTCGTTCCATTGCCGTTGGTTAGCCCACCGTGTTAAGGGACGTGGTTAGCTTTGCCATCTAATGCAAGATGACTTCCTTTATATATTGGTAACAAGACAATCGTGCTTAATACATAGAAAAATACAAACACGATATTGGCTATCTCCGATATTCAGAAATAAAAAACTTAACATTTTCAGAACATTAATTATTTACACTATAAATCTTGAAATATGAATAAGTTGATTTGATGATTGATGAATTGCAAAGTTTGATACAATAAACGACTGTGATTCAGTCTTCGGTGCTGTTGTATGCACGATGAGGGCGTTATCACGATTAGATAAGTTTTTTGTTCGGATCTTGTTACGCGTGTTGGACGAATAAGTACCAGGCTAACCTAATAAATCGGACGAAACGACAGATACACTTGTGGGCCGAATCGACTTTGAGGCAATTGTAGGACGAATCAATCTGTGGTACGAATAGACCATCCACACATTTTGACGGCCAAGAACTTCATGTGGCGAATGAAAACAACTAATCCCCACTCCTAACTAACTCCCATTTGGAACTGCTGTTTCTCAAAAATAGAAGAGAATTCAAATGTTGGCTTTTCTAGCCCTGTTCACAAATGCAACACTCGCTATGTGATAAAATCAAATCAAAATCAAAGACAAAATTGGTAATTTTCTGATACGCGAATGAATGGTGCACACCATTTCTGTGCTTCGGAACAAAATAGTGTTAAAAGAAAAACAAACAATTGTTATGGTGTCTTTGCACACATTTTAATGAACATTTCATGACTATCATTATATAGAAATATATATATATATATAGAGGAGTGTTGAAAAGTGAGATACAACGCCCAAACTGTAAGCAATATCATAGCGCCCTCTATTGGCACAGTATATGGAAATCCAGTTATATATTTAGCAGTATTAATTTGTTCATACCATATCACTTCATACACCCAGTAGTCATGGCAGTGAAGTGCAAATTCAATATAATAAAATTAATATCTTTATTACACAACTGTGCCTACAGAGGACATAATATGGTATAATAACAAGTCATAATCTCAACAAGATACATACACGTCTTTCTGTACAGAGTACTGAGTATTGTTTTTGAAAACAACAATACCAGTGATCACTTGTATACATTGACAGTATGTCTCATCTACCAGCCTTCACGTTCGTAATTTTACTCATAAGTATAGAATATCATTGTGTAACCGTATTGCAGTGAACGGACATAACAAATATGTAAATTTCTCTCATATTATTATACACAATGTATATATATATATATATATATATATCTAGTATATAATTTAAACGGAATTGTTGCTAGTAGTTACGAAACACACATCGTCATTATTAATTGTCACCGATTCGTACATTACATGCACGACAGAAACATGACGATATTTCACATCACGAACAATAACATCTCTCACATTTGAAGACCATCGTGAGTCAAGTGGAATAACTGTTGTAACAATTCACGTGAAGTGGAAATGGTGACGTAAAGCTGTATCCAATTAGGAATACTGTGTTTCCCGTAGAGCGATTCCCGTCACTGTGCGTATAGTACAACTATCAGGGGTAAAATTCTTCTCTCTCGGGGTTCTCCACACTTGTCAAGGGGGAAACTCGTCTCGTCTCTCTATCTCGTCCCCTTGAGGTACGGGATCGGGAAAGTCACTTTAACTTTACAGTCAAATAAGACACACACAACGAAATACGTTTCAGCTCTCGTCTTAGTCGATCTTTTGGAGCACTCTATAAGACACAGTGCCCTGGGGAAAAGTCCCCAAGACTCTCACAAGGCTGAACCAAGACTCGCCCAAGACTGGACTGCCTCAAGGCTCGCCCCTGGACTCTCTCGGACTGCGTCTGTCGTGGAGTATTCGCCAAGACCAACTCAAACTCTCTTTATTCATTTTCAAAACTCTAACCAATTACAAAGCAGTAAAAAGACTCTAAGGCGTAAACTTCAATCATAAAGCCAATCAAACTAAGTACTGAATACGTCATATCTTTTGATTAATCGTTCACTACATTAATAACTATGAATATAAACTGTCAGAATCGCGACGGATATCTCGTAATTAGTTCCAAATCACTGAGCCAATTTCTGTCCAAAACTTCAAATAGGCCTACACGATGACAGACATAACACAGCAATTCGCTCGTAATCAACTAATTAAGTCGGTTAACAGATACGCGAAAACAAATTCATGACACAACCTTCAACGGGGCAGGCCATGTGCGCAATCATTATGAACGGCTTATCACTTCTGAGCAAATACAAACAAAACACGTATGCTGATACACCCTGCCACGCAGGCATACTACACATTAGACAGTTTGAGCAAGATAGACGATACTATGTGATATCCAATCAGCTTGAAGGCACGCTATATTTATATACTTCTACCATTCTCAATATGACATATACTATCTAAACTTGTTCACCTATACATCCAAACAGTTTGTTTTACGATATGAGACACCTATTCATAGACACTTATTTTCAAGTCCATATTTCTCATTAAATATTCGATCTCTCACATCTTACGTAATAGCGCTATAAATGAAGTTACTGAAAATTGTACTCATCTTGAAATAAAATCTGTTTGTTTGTTTCGTCCCCAAAATGCGTTTTTTTCACTTTGACGATTATGAAACACACACACTGTCTTATTAAAATGGACACTTGCGTGAATACATAACATGTCTCAAAATGTTTGAATTTGTTTTTCAGCTGAAAGTATCTATATCAGAATTGTTGCCATTAAAAGCATTTTTTCAATTCTATAATTAAAACTCTTTCCAATATCTGAGATATGTTATATCAGCTAATATGTAGGAATTGTATGTGAATATGTCAGACAAATCAGATAAGGTGGTACTGACTTTAATATTGTTAATTGTATTAATAAACCGTGACGAAGACCAAAAATGTACAAATGACAATAATTTAAATAGAATCAGTGGATTAATTATTATTATTATAATTATCTTAAGAGAACTATTACTTTCTGGCTCGGATTGATATATCATGGAAGGCACATGAAGCGAAGGATGTGTTCACTATTATTGAAACAATTACACCACTATAGCTACGTGGATGTATGCCTTAAAGACCATATAATCTGACCTTCACTAATTGCACAATATATATATAACTAGTGTCATCTATGTTCAAACCGTAAAACAACCAGGTAAGATGTAACATAGAGATTGACTCCAAGAGATAGATTATGGGTAAATAGAGATCTTTAAAAGCATTGCTTACATGATATCGCTAACATTGTCAGTGCAAATACAGAATGTTATGAGTACAGAGAATAATTAAAACTCTAGACTTTAATAAATATCTAGTTGTGCATAACAGACGTGAGACATGACTGGCATTTAGTAGAGCAATTTGCATTGAGTCTGAATTTCATATGTATGAAAGTTCGTATCAGTGTGTCACGAACATTGTTTATTTCTGTTACCCAAATTGTTGCTAGTAGTTACAAAGTAATGCAGCATTGTAATTTTAAATTATTCATCATGGTGACGAATGTTGAAAATTGGTGTTTGATTTGTTACCGACATCGTACGTAGGACATAGGAGTTATCTTGTCCTAAAACAAATTACCATTTATCTTATGATACTATATTTTCATTTTCTTGGATATTATCTTTTTTTTGCCGTTAACATGACATCATGTATAGATAGGTATCTCGTGAATAACATGTTATTCTCTGACCCCGAATAATGTCTTTAAAAAAATGAAACGCCAACATGGAAAATAAATTGGATGAAGTAATGCTACGTATTAAAACGGAAGCGTGGTGCGACTGTAAGTAGGGGTTGCTATAGTAACCAGGCTATATTTGCTGCGTTATCTTTGCTTAAATTGACGATTGTGGAAGTCTACCGGATGAGACGGTATACATGATTAGTATTGTAGTTGTTATAAACAGTCACAGTTTATCGCACATGTCGAATAAAGAGCTACTAACAGGAAAACTAGTTATATGAACCATACAAAGTGTAATCACAGAATGCAACTCAGTGTTTCTCTTGATATGTTGTAATATCTCTTGATTTCTTAATGCATTAAGACATTTGTGACATGTCTTGCTGTATAACACATTTCACGCTTGGAACACCTTCTCCATGTGAAAAAAATACTTACACTTTTTATTTACACTAAAACATAACCAGGCAACTATTGTTGTGTATGAATGTACCATGTTTCCTCTCCTGTCGAAACGTGGTCAAGTTTTTAAACAAGAAAATACGTTCGACATCCCAATCTATCCCACCACCATCGCCACTAATTTGTCAACGTCTTCGGTACCCAAAACTGCTATACATTTAAATCTTCAATGAGAAAACAATTCTTTGTTCCTCTGAAATGTCGATTTTTTTTTCAAAACCGGCGATTGTAGAGTCGTAATGTTCTATAGATAAAATGGCGCATGCGCAATTTGACTACAATAATTTTTAACTTTAATAATCGCAGCGATGTGCTGTGTAAATGTTATTACTCAGAGCGTCCTAGAAAATACGTCAGTGTCGCCGACAAATACGATACTACTGATTACGTTCTTCCAATCTGCTCTTCATAATCAGTGAGGCGATGTAAATTACGTTAAATTTTGCTAGATTACTTTGGCCTTTTAATTCAAAAAAGAAGATAATGGAAGATACGGACCAGAATAAAGCGTTGAGTAATACACACGTGTAGGCTATACTGGGAGCTTTAATCAAATAAACAGTCCACTTTTATCTTTTTTTATTCTCCATTCTAATATACGAGCGTGTTACACAACCTTTCTTTAATACACATTATTGAAATGAAATTAGTCTGTATAATAACTAGGGCAACCATACTGTGAGATTACGTGACATGTTTATCAAGCGGTTTCATATAAGTACGCTTTAATGACATAATGGAATAAATGTAAGTTACAGACGTTTTTTGAAGAGGGCGTCAAGTGTATTTACTAGAGTGTCAGCCATGTACATTTCTACTCAGTAATCAGTAGCAGTAATGAACACAGTAACTAATGAAAAAAATATTTAGTTCCAATCACATATCTAAGAAATGTACATAATGTGTAAAACTAATAACTGTCTGTGTAGCAACCTTCTATTTTAGAAAACTAACAGTTAATATTATTTTAATTACGACTGGTAATTCATTAAATATATTAATTCGAATCAGTTTCACACGAGCTTAACATCAACTTGGTTACATATCTCATATACTTGAAAGAAGGAATACTAATGAGTTCATTAGTTATTAGTTTAAAATATACACCATTGTTAGATGACATCGTTATTTACTTTAAGCCTTATACTAAATCTACTCAGCCTATCTTGTCTAGTAAATAGTAATGAGATTTCAACTTACTACATTAATTGTTCATAAATGAGAATTTCTTTGAAGCTTATGTAATAAACTTTAAAATTGCATGGTACTTATACTGGTGAGATGAAACACGAGTTTTTCCAATGTCTAGTAGGGTGTCATCCAAGTAAAATAGCAAACAGACATCACATGCTATTGTGTAATGCAATCACAAGGAAAGCACGTTCAAAATTACGTAAACGTGTATCACCATGGAAACGATACTATATATATTTGCGAAGTATTACTCACATTATTCAGTTAAATATCTGCAACACAGTCACACATATAACTCCCACAGATGGTAGACAACAATATTCTACTGCATCCAAAATGTTTCAAAAATGTTTCGGATTTTCAGTTTTCAATTCTAGAAACCCATGCTACGACTAGGTCATTATCAACGTTGGATAATGTCGTGGTGATAAACATACTTCTGTAACCATTTAAATCTGAGAGATTCATGTTACCCTAACGAAATATTGTAACAGGTTATTGTAACAAGTTATATTTCCATGAAAATGTCCATGGATTTTTAGGTTGCCCTTTGTACTACAATCTCTTGTTGACACGGTCAGGATTTTGTAATTGCCCTCTCTCGTTGATACGACCAGATTCGTTTTTACTACAATCTCACGTTGATACGATCAGAATTGTTTTCACTGCAATCTCTCGTTAATACGATCAGAATTGTTTTCACTGCAATATCTTGTTAATACGACCATAATTGTTTTCACTGCAATCTCTCGTCAATACGATCAGAATTGTTTTCACTGCAATCTCTCGTTAATACGATCAGAATTGTTTTCACTGCAATCTCTCGTTAATACGATCAGAATTGTTTTCACTGCAATATCTTGTTAATACGACCATAATTGTTTTCACTGCAATCTCTCGTCAATACGATCAGAATTGTTTTCACTTCAATCTTTCGTTAATACGATCAGAATTGTTTTCACTGCTATCACTCGTTGATACAATCAGATTTGTGTATACTGCAATTGCATTGTATACAGGTATGTGATTGCCAGGAAATCTCAGGATATTGCTTTTTTTAAATGTAACTCATTTAATGGAAATAAAGAGAACGACAATAAAACATTAAAATGTCCATGTCTTGTTCATAATCAAACAGTCATCATTGTTGTTTTAAATAAATTATTAAAATGTGTTCGAATAATTATATAGTAATACAAAAGATAATAATGTACATTTGTGTTTCTGATAAGTTTAGTGTATATTATGTTGTTCATAAAATGTGAGCCGCACATAGAAATCGGACACATGTATCTTTGGAGCACACGATGAGAGGGTTGTGCGACTGTTTTGATGAACGTGCTGTGTACAATAACCGAGTACCAGCTTCTTTGTAGTCTGATGCCAAGTCACAACAACTTCAATCTGCTGACCAGTTGTTGTTCATTGCTGAATAGATTTGTTCAGTTGTTCATTAGGAGCTCCATCATTATTTCTATACGACTATTCAAACCATTGAAATTTTGGAGTTGATCACTAGCGTATTTTTGAGTTGGTTCTGTATCATCGCTGTTGAGAAGTTGGAAATGTTGCAGCAGAGGCAGTGGCTTGTCGTTCTTTCTGCCAATTTCATAAGGAATAAGGACAATTCATTTTCAATTTCGGCCATGTGAAGAGAACCTCAGAATTTCGTTTCTTGATTGACTGGTTTATTTCTTGTATACACACCACTTCGTTTCTGGCAATGGCAAGCATTAGGTCACGCAGTCGTCTCTCACAACTTGATATGTGTTTATCTTTTGTTTTGGATTATTTTGGTATGTAATCAATAATGCAAATAAGAACAGCGAGAATTGTGTTTTACCCTTATCATTTCTGATTGTGTGCTCTTAACTCAGAAGCTTGAGCTAAAGTTACTCTAGAAAATGACCACAAATATTTCACTTTTGCATGCAGAAAACACTTTTGTTCAACTACACGTGATGTGTCAGCAAAGGGAAATTCCTGAATAGATGCTTGCCTTTTTAGCAGCATTATCTGAACCATGACTTTTGACCGATGAGTGCATATCAAATGAGAGAATGTATTCCAGCTTATACAATTACACATTTGAATGATAACACTAAAATCCATTAGTCATTGTATATTTGTAGTCAATCAATCAAACGATACTTTAAAATCTGACCTTTACGACTTTCGATAGCAGGATATTATACAAAAAAAGGCAAATAATAGCCACATGGCAATTCATGTACAACATTAGACTGTACGTTTTTACCTAAAACGTATTAAATACAAATAACTGCCATAATGGTTTTAATTTAAATAAGTTTAATGTCAACTGATTACCTGAAAACAATATACAACAAATATAAATTCCACTATTAGTCCAGCAGCTGAGGGCAACTAAACCAATGTTTTTGTAGATTATTTATATACAGACCCTCTGTATCAACAATCTGAATGATACCAAGCTTGTATCATTTAGCAATGGAGGAAATGGCTCCATGACTTTTGCAATCAAGTCTATCAACTGAATCTTGTATTATGTGGAACACTTTTTGTGTAGGTAGAGACACACTCAAAGAAAGATGATGCTGTCGGATTTCATCCCTCTGTCTAGTGTACTGCTGAATATCAAGTAAACATCAGATTCTTTCAGCTTTTTGACTAACCATGTTACAGTATTGTATGCATAATCCTGGACCTTTCCATTTGTAGGTCAAATGCTACCTCAAAGCATAGCTGACCCATAAATAATAAGGCTGTAATCCTGAGTCACATGTCTTGTAGAAGTTTCTAGTTCCATAATTCATTTCAATGTTGACTTTGTTTAAGCGATCCTCATATTACCTGAACTATCATACCTTGCCACTGGAGTCGGTGCTAATTTATACTTCAGGACATCATTTAAATTAACTTGTCTTCTTGAAGCTTGTAGACCTATGATACATGAGTATATTTCATAACACTTTTACTGTTTCTTCACCTTCTTGAATTCCTTGCTGATAATAGTGTGAAATCCACTTGGTCAATAAAGCTTTGTCCACATTGACCTCATCTGGTGCAATTCGATCATTCACTATATTGATGCTGCTGTCTGCAGGATGATGATGGGCAATGTCCAATGGATTATAAGACTCTTAAAACTTGTTCTGGAGTGTGTCCCTTTCCTTTGTACCGGATAGCATACAGGATTTCATTTCCTTTCTGTGATTTTTTGGGGGAATTTTCCCAGAACTGTTATTTCTCGAGCATTCTTCAAATATGTGCTAAGCATTTGATTTTAGTGTGATGGTTAGTCTGCTTCTGTTTCAGCTCACGAGAAACATTGGTTTGATAAGTTAATCTGCCAACAACGCAGTGGTTTGCTGTTTTCCATTATTGTCATGTCCTTTATAAGTATTTCTACAAGTAGTCTACAAGAAGCAACTGCCCCGGGAGATATCTGCGCAGATGAAGAT